TGTCTAGGCCACACCCGAGATGTCTTGGCCACGCCTATGGCTGGGCCACGGCTGAGATGTCTAGGCCATGCCTGGGTTGGAACGGAGTCTGAAAGGGGAGGGCAGGAAGTAGAGCAAAAAGATGGAACGACACATTAAAGGCATGGTGCATTTACTCAGGAATCGGGCAACATACAGAGGAAGTCGAGCAAAAAGATAGAGCAGCACAATGAAGGCATGGTGCATTTACTCAGGAAATCGGGCAACATACATCGCTAACTCATGCGGATGCTCACATGCAAAACCATGGGAATTAGGCCGCTTTGATTTTCAATCGTGGGAAAGGACCACAACCAAGAACATGGCTACATACCCCAAAGCTGTGGCCCACTGCAGTTACAGAATTGCGGGAAAGAACCTTTACCAGAAAGCGGGGTGAATACATGACTATGTATGCCCACTAATGAAGGGGCATATGTTGAGGCGCGTTCTGGCTGAACCCCCCCCCCCCCACAAAAAAAAAAGAAAACAAAAAACAAAAACAAACAAACAAAAGCGTTGAGTGCCTCAGGCCAGAACGCTCAACGGAAACTTCGAACGGACGACATTTTTGCTGCCAAACTTTGAAACAACAATATTTTTGCTATTAACCCAACAATGAACTCGTGAGCCACTATCTCTATCAAGGCTCTACTCTGACCATGGTTTAGACAGAGGTAAGATGCCTGTTAGACAGAGCTAACATGCCTGTTAGACATAGAGCTAAGATGCCTGACCATGGGTTTGTTATTAACTCATAAAAGAATCTGTATCAGTGATCTTGGACGATGGTCGAGCCGGAGAGGTAAGATGGTTGACCATGGGTTTTGTCATTAACTCAGGAAAAGAATCTCTAGCAAGGCTCTGTTACCATGGTTTAGAGTCTTTAGACAGAGATGAGATGCCTGACCATGGGTTGGACAGAGAAGTGGGCTCCCTAACTGTGGTTTGCAGACTGCATCGTCGAGTCCTTGAGTAGTCGGAGGATGTTGGAGTGTTCGTCCTTTAGTTGTTCTTGATTAGCTGGAGGATGCATACAAGCCTGGTGGGTCTTTGGCCTGTCGTCGTCGGAATGCAGGGAAGTGGCGATGACCGTCTTCCTCCTACCGCCGAGTACCATGAAGGACACACGTACGCTTACTTCCACGGCGATTTTCTCTTATTGTTGTGGACACTGGTGGAGAAGATTGGTTGTACCACCAGCGTGGAGTCGAACTCTCACATGCAACCGGCGGACTCTGGTATGGTGTTCCTTAGTGCAGGTTTCTCTTGTGAGAAGTTTCACGACAATGACGATGAAGGATCCGGAAATTGAGGAATAAATGATTGCATGTTAAAAAAAATGCAGTCACTGCAAATTTGCTGACAAAAAAAAAAAAAAAAAAAAAAAAAAAAAAAAAAAAAAAAACCTCGTAAGCCAAACGTCCAAGCCCTCAGGCCACACCAACGCAGTACTCATTCCCCCTACCTAGCGCGCACCTGCACGCGCACTCTCCCGCCCAACTTAACGCCGTCTCCCTTGCACATCTCCTCGCGATTCCTTTTCCCCCACCACGTTCCCGCCCCGCTACCCCGATCCCGATCTACGGCCACGCCATCCCAATCCAATTTGCCTCCCCCCGCTTTGCCTCCCAATCCCGATCCGGCTATCTACCCCTCCCGTTCCCGATCCCGGCGCCCCTCCTCCCAATCTCCCCCTTCCCTCTTCCCCCTTCACCCTTCCCCCTTCCCGTTCCTTCACCTTCCCCGCTTCCAGATCCCACTCCCCCCCATCTTGCGCGCACTACTCCCCTCCGACACTCCTCCCCAAACACTTCCCCCCGCACTTCCCCCGACACTTTCCCCGACTTCTCCCCACCTCCCCCTGAATTCCCCCGGACTTCCCCATCTCCC